GAATTATGGCTCTGAGTGACAGAGTTTGGTGAAAAGGAAAGGAATTATTTATTCGAAAGTTATACAGGTTTGATTAATGGCTAAATGTCACCCTTAAACCTCAAAATCCCTTCAAAACAATCACCAGCACATACACACTGTCCTGCCTTCCCCGCTTTGCCCAGTCAGGCCACTCAGGCCGGTCAGGGGTACCGTCCTTCAGAAGAAAAAGAACAGAAGTCTGGGGCTCGGCTAGGCAGGCCTCTCGCGGGTCTCAGCACCATCTGCTGCGTCGCCATCTCCAGCTCTTAATCCATAACCATGTGGCACCTTCTCATGGCCCACGAGCAAGAGTCCTTTCTCCCCTCTTTCTTCTCTCATGGTCTTCACACTGTTCCCCAGAGCCTGTGTCCCTTTGTCTCTCCTACAGGCCTCAGTCTCTCCCCCTTCTCTCTCAGTTACTTCTCTACTAAGTCTTTTTTAACCTTCCTGATAAGCTTTGGTGATATGCAAAATAACCCTCTTTGCATATGAGGAATGAAGCTATCCTGTTATTGACATACAAAATGACTCTTAATGGCCCTGTTCAAGGCTCCCATCCCCCATGGCACCCCTGCCCTAGGGTGAGGAGAATATATTTTTCTTGGACACCCCAATCTCTGGACCCCGTTACAAATACCCTTTAGGGGGGCCTGGCTGTGCCCCGTTACAATACTAACATTCTATTTGTCAAAATTCAGTTATATAGCCACACCTAACATAAAGAAGACTGGGGAATGTAGTCTAGCCACGTATTCAAAGGAAATAAGAATTTAGGAGAAAACCTGCTATTGTCTGCCAAGCCAAGCACATTGTCAATGCTTACAAATGATCCATCTGTATTAGAATGAAGAAAATTGATATATATATATATAACAAGAACATATACATAACACATGGATACAGGTTTAACACAACTAATATTAATAGTTTAAGGTTGTTTATTGTGTTATACAAATCTGTAACTTGTTAATATTTTTTCTTTAGCTTTATCAGATTCTGAGTCAGGTGTGTTAAACTTTCTGCTAGGTAGCTGAGGCGTCTAAGAAAGGACCTGGAGCCAGAAAAGTCCAACTAAGGGCTTTTATTTGGGGCAGGGCACTGCCTGTGATCAGGCTGGCTGGGTCCCAATGGTCAGCAGCCCCAAGGGATAGGGTGGAAGGGCTTTCAAGGTGAGTAGCAGACCCTCGGGGGCGGGTGAGTCACCCTGCTGATCTGCTCCAGGTGTTCTGCATATCTGATCAGGGAGGGCTGATTCTTTAGAAAGCTTGAGGGAAAGGGGAGGAGGCAGTGAGGATTCAGCCAGTTTTCTAACAGGATGCCGGCGGCTGTGCCTCAGTTGCTTCTTATATGGGTAATCTGTGGTGTAGTATTTAGCCGGAGACGTGTACTTTCTTTGCTCCAGCATAGCTGGTGGCTTAGGTCCGTGTCCTAGTTTATTCTAACTTTCCCATGATGATTGTGGAAGTTGTGTCAATGTTTTTTTTTCCTTTCTTTATACCCAGGTTATGTTGTTAGGTTCATACAACTTACTGTTTCTATATAGTCTTCTATTTATTACTTTTATTATTGTATAGTATCATTCCTTGTTTTGATCTTTGGTGTAACTTTTCTTACACTTAATATTAATAATCAATACCTGCTTTCTTTTGGTTAGGTTTTGCTTGATAGTCAATTCTTTTATGCACATTTAGCTTGTTATGTTTTTTAGCATTGTCTCATAAATAGCTTATAATTAGAATGTAAAATATTCGGTCTAACATTTGACTATTTGATTAATGTATTTATTTTATTTTTATTTATTTTTATTTTTATAGTGTTTTCTATTTGCGATGCACTCTGCTTCTTTTTAATTTATTACTTGCTTCTGTTGGATCAATGGAATTTTATTTATTCCCTATTTTTCTCTTTGCAAATGTGGGTGTTGTTTATTCTATTTCCCTCTATTAAGAACAACATTCAAACCTCAAATATTTCATAACAAAGTATAAAGTTATCAGATGTGTATGATACAAAGTATTAGGAACTATTGCTTTTATCTAAATTCCCCTGATCTTTTATTATTTTTTGTTTCCTTTGTAAATGCAAATATTTAATTTCCTTTTCTCTTTAAACACAAAGATTTTTTTAAATTTTATAGTAATTATTTAATTATATTAATACATGCTTATGAGATTTTTCTGAAACTTTGCATCTTATAATTTTTTCCTATCTTTATTACATAAACTTTTGTGTCACCAGAAGAAATAGTGAGCTCCTTAACAGCTGAGGTAAGTTCAAGGGATAAAAAAGAAAGTTTTTCTTCCTTGTGATATTTTCCTGGGTGCTCCTTTCTTACTTTCCATGGTTTTTTGTTTTCTTAATACTCTTGTATTTTCTGGGGCCAAGAAGACAAATACTATTACTGATGAAGATTCATTTTCCTTATTTTGAAATATTATAACCAATTAAAGAAGGAATTTGAGATTTTACTTTATAAAGGCACTGATATTACCTGAAAACAACTGCATATCAGAGTTTTCTAAAGGATTACATTATTTTAACTTCAAAGAAGCCACCATAATGGATATTCAAATACAGTTTCAGATTGTTAGGGGATAAGTCAAATATAATAATTCACAATTTCCTTATGAGTCAATGTGTTAACTATCTCTAATAGTTGCTGTTCAATTAAAGACTTGTGGTTTTGCAATGATTGAATTCTTATTTTTATTAAAATAATGGTGATTATTTATGCACTGTCTTAGAAGTTCTTGCACATGCACTAAGAAAGCCAAATAATTAAATTGTAGAAAACAAAATATAAAACATTTGTTCTGTAATAAAATTAAAAACCTAGAAAATACAAGAGATTTTAGTTTCAAAAATAAAATGAAGAAACAGATTTATTAAGCAACTGGATATGGAATGACTATCCAAAAATCAATGAGTATTTAGTTTATGTTATGTGGGTATTAAAGACTTAGAAGTAGAAAGAAATGAGAAGGTAGATAATGACAACAACATTTAAAGCATTCGACAGACAAATGATAGGTTTGGGAAAATACTTATATTTGCAAGGGATATGATAAAGCGTAGGGCCTATTTTAAATTGACAAGAGAAAGGCAACTCAAAATTAGCAGAACACATGAATGGGTCACTATAGGGCCATTGAAACAGCACTGAATCACTTGAAAAAGGTGTTGAGGCACTAGTAGATAAAGATGGATTGTCTGATTAATCCAACTGGCAAAAGTGAAGAGATACATACAATCTATTACTAGAGGGGATGTGGCAAATATAGACTACTGGATATTACTGGTATGTTTGTAAATTATTACAGCTTTCTATCATATTTATTACATTTCATAGTATCTACAGCTTTCACTTCAGATATACCAATTCTGCAACACTATCTCTTGCAAAAGAAAGTATCAATAAGTCAGGATATGTCTATACAAAAGTTTATTGAAGCCTTATTCATAATGACAAAACAAGTAAGTGAAGAGAGAACCCAAAATAGAGGAATGGTGAGATAATTACGGTGCCATCACACCATGGAATTATATACAACTACAAAAGTAGTGCATAGACTTATACCAACTAGCCTAAAATAATTTCCACAAAGTAGGAGTGAAAATCAACATGCATTAAAGGGTGCATAATTTTTTAATTGCAAAAAATTACAAATGTAAATACATTTGTCCATTTGGTTTACATTAATTTATAGCTATTTAGGTTTTGCTAAAACAATGAAATATATATTCTAACTTGTTCACCCAGATTTTCTAGAGTGGAATGATGAGATTAGAATAGGAAAGGAGTGGGGAGGGGACAATAAACTGATGGCGCAAGAAATTTAAAAGACTGGATCTAAAACAAACAAAAATTGCATAAAATTTAGCAAGTATGCTATCTCATTAATATAATTACTTAAAATGAAAAATAAAACAATATACAGACAATTTAATTAATACTATGAATGAAGTTAATATGTCTCAAGATATTTTTTGATGAAATGAACATTAAATTTTGGGAAATGATAGATGCCAACAGCACTTCTGTTAAGAATCTTTAACATGAAGTTCAAATTTAACAATTGAGAGATATTAGTGTTAAGATCCTTCTTAGTTTCATTCCCATTTATTCAATATTCTATTAATATAGCAGCATATCAAACAAGCACTCTATAAACCCATATTTATTCTCTCTCCATTAATCCAACTATCATGTCTATGTCTATAGCTATCAGTACCAATCAGCTGATCAGCCACCAGAGGAGATGTTATAGCCTAGATTAGTAGCTGTGTGACCTTGAGTTAGATATTTCCTGTTTCCTCATCTCTGACATGCAATATTACTCACAAGGTTATAGCAAAAAATCAATTAGGTAATAGATGTAAAGCACAAATTAAGATACTATACACAAAAAATATTGTCAATAGAAACAATTTAAACAATCAGAAATTCATATACAATTCAGTCATGGAGCATAGAGTTAGGGAAAATGATTGGACGAACTTTAGCTACTCAGAACTAATGTTTTGGACATTTTGATGTCTGTATATGATAGCATGAAGAAGATGAAATGTTATGTGTTATAAAAAAATTGTCCAAATTAAGATTAATGATATATATGGAAACAGTAACAAAATGAAAAGATAGAAATAAAATGCAGCCTTAGAAATTTAAAGTTGTTCTAATTACAGCCATAGATGAGAGTTACCAATCATGCATTTTTATTAAATCATACAAAGTATTATTTTGTATGTCCATTGCAACATAGCAGCTTTACTTTCTGTACATCTCAGGGTAAATATTTTGCCCTCTGATTGCTTTCATTTGCCTCAGGATATCAATAAGGATCTTTGCTAGAGAAAAATCTAAATTTTATCTCAGTTTTAAAATACTATGATTGTACGATCGCAAAAGAACTTAATTCCCAGTTTTCTTCTCTGGGTCAGCACTTCAGAGAATTACAAAAGACCTCCTCTCTACATGTATTTATTTTCTGATTCCAAAATCTTCCTTCTTCTCATCTGTCATCCCCATTAATTCTCCCAGTTTCTTCTCCAAGTATGTCTCTAATGACCTTCGTATTGTCTTCATTTTCTTCCGGTGAGTTACACAAATATGGAATCTAGAGAAGAGAACAAGATAATTCCAACTTCAATATCAATAGCCCAATTCTCCTGGAATAATTATACAATTATTTTTTTCTTCCTTTTCTGGATAAGTGTCCAAAAGTTTTCCTCATGCTTCATTGTACCTCCTCCATTTCTCTTCTTTCAGCTTTTATCCCATCAAACTTCCATTCACTTTGTTCCTGACAGTATCATATTCTAAAGTTTAAAATGCTCTTTCCCCTTATGTTCATTAGAAGGAAGGGGAGGATTGGGCAGTCTTTTTGTCAAAAGAATGCTTGACCCAGTGTTTGGAGGGAGGAAAACTCACAGTAACAAAGCAGTTCCTAATATTACAGCTTCTGCTATCAATAATAGAAGTAGTGCAATTTCTCGATTCTCAGACTTCTTTGAATCCTCTTCTAGAAGGAGAAAGGGGAAATTAGAAAGTAAGTCTTAGAGAAGAAAAAATAGTAACTTGAGAACTTTATGCATAATAGAAGATTCTTTTTAACCTCAAACTGTTTGCTGTATTCACCACTTTCATCACTGTTCCTGATCAATGTGGTCTTTATTATTCTTAGACCCTTAGACTCTATGAAAATTTTGCCCTTACTGCTGCTAGATAAATTTCTCTATCTTCAGTCCAGACTATGTATTTCTCAGCCATTCAGTTGGTCTAGTGTCTAGTAATTCATACTGGTATACAAATTTTACCCAAAATTTTAACTTTTATTTGTGATGTAAGCATGACCTGCAGAGAAGATGCTCAACAAATATTTGTTGAACAAATCAATGAACAGCTAATTATCTTGATCACTGACCCCTCAAAATGTCACATCACAAGGGGTTTTTTTTTGTTTTTTTGTTTTTGGTTTGTTTTTTTTTTTACCTCCACAATACTCTCCTTTGAAGCACCGGGTGGTGATACGAACACAGCTCCAACAATCCAGGATAAGACCTTCAGTCACAACTGATGAAGAGAAGAAAGAAAATTGGAGGGAAGCCATGGCATGGAGTTTCCTTAGCTAAAACTTCTGTGAATTCTTTTCTCCTTTAGCAATCAAGTTTTCACATGGATCAAAACTTTCTGTAATTTAAATTAGGTCTTGGGGGAGTAAGGGGAGAAATGATGCCTTAGCTTACACTGGTGCAATGGGTTGTAAGCTATACTTTAGGAGGCCTCTGAGTACCTCCAAACTCTGTGAGAGATCTAAGGTTTCATAAGCTAGATTTTGTTGTCAGATATCATTGACATTCTTTCTTAGAACCGCATCTCTAGGAATTGGGTTCTCAGTGGTACAATTAGGAGAGATAAGGTCATGGAGAGCAAAGGAGATAAGGAATTTGAACTAAAACCTTAAGGCGTCACATAAACTGTACTCACCGCAATCTTCAGAACAAGCTAAAAGAGAATCAGAAAGTCTAATGAGCTTAGAATCAATAAACTTGGAGTTTGTAACATTTATACCCAAGTAGTCTTTACTTAGTCATTCTTCTCCCCATTCTAAATCACTGTAATATGAAACTACATTCCCCCCCTCACCCGTCATTTCCTATTCCTTTCACATACTCTCAGTGCTGTTAGATAGACATTTTTTATTACCAAGTTCAGAGAAGTGCTTTAATGTTTCTTTCAGTTTGGATTCCAAGTCTTGGCGGACATCGAGAAGCTTGCCTTGAAGAATAAAGACACCTAAGACAGGGTGGAAGGGACAGAATATTAGGTTGGCCCTTCCTTTCAGGACTTAATCCTGATTGTTTTGCCTTGTTGTCCCCAGTGATATTTCTTCATATTTGCTTGGACAATACAATCTTTTGACACTGAAACAGAACCTCACCTTTCCATGTTTTATTGCCCACTTTATAAAGTTCATTCTTCAGCCATGCTTTCAAACTGACAACCTTTTGAACAGCTAGAAAAGAGAGGTAAATGTACATGTGGGGGAATAATTATATCTGTGGAGGATATTCTGTAGACAGAGGTGCTCTCTTCCCTGCCTCCCTTTAACCCCCCAAAATCTCAAGGACTCAAGGTTCCCTCACCCAATACCCGAAGCATCTTGTTCCCGTGGGAGACCTTGAAGCTTAAATTGATCATCTCTTTAATCTGCCATTCAAGCAGTTTTGTTCGGCCAGGGACTTCTGAGGGTACCAACTTTTCCAACAATGACTTAATATCCTCTTTAAATTTGGGGTCACATTCCAGGCAGCCTTTGACTCCATGGAAGGCTGCCAGGCACAGAGGCAGGAGCAGGAACAACCATAGATCTCCCATTTCCTTGTCACAACTTCTCCCCTCACCAACAGCAGGTTGTCCTGGCAACTAGTTCACCTAGTCCCCTTTCCTCAAAAATCCAGATAGAAGAGCCTTGTCCTGGATAGTTTGACTCTACCTTCCCCTCCATTTTCATCCCTCCTGTGGACAATTTTATTTCCCTATGGATTTTCAGTTGTTTTTTGACTTTTATCCTTCATTCCTGAGACAGGGAACTGCCAGCTAAGGACAGATACCTGAGTTCCGAATGTGGAACACAAAGAGAAAGTCTTGAGCTCATACAAGCTAAGTTCCATGCAGGGTGATATCTTAGAAAAAGGTTTTCTTTAGGCCTCTCCCTTACGTGTGTCCTTAGTAAATTCCCATATCCCTCCTGACCATTGGGTCATATCCCAAGGAGGAGAGACATACAAGATCAGAGACTGGTTTATTGAAATCCTGCTTCTCTAGAGGAGGTAAGAAAAGTCCAGAATATTGAGTTCCTTGGGGTCCCAGTCCTTGATGGTTGTAGGATCATTGAAAATTAGTAGTAGGTGTCTGGATATAATTGATACCGTTAATAATAATAATTTTGATATAATTGTATATTTTTTAGAAATTTAGGTTAAGCTGCCTTTGTTTGTAGGATGATTTTTCCAGCTGTGCTAAATAACTTTTTTATATAATTCTTTTTATAAAGAGTCTGGAGCAAGGAGGTTAGAATTAATAGTGGAGGGCTATACAAGGAGTAAAAATCTCCTAACACTCAAGGTACTTTAGCAGACTCATCTTGAAAACATTGATGAAAAAATGTGTGACATAAAGGAAAATAACCACAATCAGGAACTGACCTCTTAAGCTACCTACATGGAAGGTGGCCAAATCAACATGTGTTTCCTTCAGTTTAAGGCTACTTGAATAAGAACATTCTTTGTTATTTGAAGCAATTAAGGCTGATTTGCAGACATTTTAGAGCACAGTTACCTCTTTTCTAATATATTCCTTGTATGGCTATGGACTAAAAGAGACTCAGAAACACTTATAGAAACTAAGAAATCCTAAATGTTTAGTGGTAGAATTTATACCTAATGTATAGGAAAGTCTTGGAGCAGAAGGTTAACATGAGGCAAGTTAAAAGAACCACCACTAATATTGTGCCTACCATATGCCAGATATGTGCTAAACACATCAGATAGATTACTGCAAGTCCTCATAGCACAGAAATACCTTGGGAGATTATCTATATTTTATAGATAAGAGACTGAGGCTTTAAGATGTCAAACTATACTCATTGCCAAATAATTTAGTAGTTACGAAATCAGGATTTAAACTCATATCTATCTGATTTCAGACTCTAGAAACTTCATCCACTGCCTCTCAAAATTTTCTGGGATGATGCCAAAAATGAACTCTTGGAATCTGATAATCAGAAGATTGGAGAGGAGAAGGGGTTAATTCAAATCATTTGATGTTCCAAAATCAACACCTCTCTGCTCTGATTTTACTTTCTCTTAGCTAGGTTACCACATGTTTAGATGATACTCCAGAGGATTTTCACATGTTGAAGTATACAGGCACATGAAATGGGAATAAATTAACTTGGGAGACCAAAGTCAGACACTAAGGGGCTTAGAAATTTGGCAGGCGGGTGGGCAGGTATAAGGAAAAACTCTTCTAGAGAAATATACATTATGAAGAGATATTTTCTACTTAACACTACATACATTTACTTATGGATTGCACAGAATAAAGAGAAAGCTTGTGTGAAAGGTGAAAGGCTAGCACCCAAATCCTTCATTGGTTATGTTAATATTTGGTTTGGACTGTCATGGAAAAGCTATGACTTATAGTCAGTGTGAATCTATAGAATAGCTTAAAATAGTATAACAGATACATAGTAGAACATGCATTCATCATATTATCCCAGATATATATTTACTCATTTGTGGTACTTACACAAATAAAATGTTCATGGGCAGTGTTGTATATGTTCTTTTTTGTTTTTGCTCTACAAAACTATTAGACAGTCCTAACAATTGAAGTCCCCTTTTTAAGAACTAAAATAAGTTGTTTACAGTGTTTGGGCTTTATTACAGATCATATCATGCAGTGATTTTTAACCAGTATGCTGCAAGAATTTTTAAAACATGCAATACCTATTTATTCAGGGACACTAATCTTTTTTCCTTTAGATTGTCAAATAAAAAAATGATAACAGCCAACACAACAATAGCCATCTAGTTTGAATGAATAAAAATTATAACTATTTTTTGTCAGATCAGTAAAAAATATATTTTTGGTGTGATGCAGAATTTCAATAATTAGTTTATGTGTGCCATGAAATGAAAAAGATTGAAAATTGCTGGCATGATGCATTGAGATTTAAACTCTGAAGAACTCACCAAGAAAAAAAAGAGAGAAGATCGAAGTAAATAAAATTAGAAATGAAAGAGGAAAATTAACAGCACATTCCACAGAAATAAAAGGGATTGTAAGAAAATATTATGAACAACAATATATCAACAAATTGGACACTATGGACAAAATATATAAATTATAAAAAACATACAATATTCAACATACAGAAACATACAATATTCAAATCTGAATAAGGACGAATGAGAATATTAGAATAGGTTGATTACAACTAATGAAATTGAAGCAGTAATTAAAAAAAAAAAAAGAAACCTCCCAACAAACAAAAGCCTTGGATTGGATGGCTTCGCAGATTAATTTTACCAAACAGTCAAAGAACCAATACCTGTCCTTCTTAAACTCTTCCCAAACCAAAAAAATCCCAAAGGTCATTTTATGAGGCCAGTATTATCCTATCTAATAAAAGACAAGGACACTAATAAAAAAGAAAATTATAGGCCAATATCCATGATGAAAATAGATGCTAAAATCCTCAATAAAATATTAGCAGACTAATCCAGTATCACACTGAAAAGATCGTAGACCATGAATCAAGTGAGGTTTATTCCAGGGATGCAAGGTTGGTTTAATATGCACAAGTCAATAAATGTGATACTTCACATAAACAAAATGTACGATAAAAATCACATGGTCATATCAATAGATGCAGAAAAAGCAATTATAAAGTGTTTATCTCAAGATTAAGAACAAGACATAAATGTCTGCTTTCACTTCTATTATTTAGCAAAGTACTGAAAATAATTCAAGCTACAGCAACGAGATAAGAAAAAGAAACAAAGACATCCAAATTGGAAAGAAAGAAGTAAAATGGTCATTATTTGCAGATGACAGGATACTGTATGTAGAAAATCCTAAAGATTCCACCAAAAAACCCTACTAGAACTGATAAGTGAATTCAGTAAAGTAACAGGATACAAAATAAATATGAAGAAATCATTTTCATTTTTATACATCAATAATAAACTATCAGAAAAAGAAACTAAAACAATCCCATTTACAAGCATATCAAAAAATATGTGGGAATACATTTAATCAAATATATAAAAGACCTATTGGAAAATTATGACACCGTGGAAAAAAATTGAAGATACAGATAAGAAGCATATACTGTATTCATGGATTGGAAGACTTAATATCATTAAAATGTCCATACTATCTAAAGCAATTTATAGACTCAACACAATTCCTATCAAGATGCCAATAGCATATTTCACAGAGCATAACAAATATTCCATAAATTTCTATGGAACCACAAAATACCCCAAATAGCCACAGCAATCTTGGGAAAGAAGAACAAGGTTGGAGTAATCACTGGATCTGATAATAAACTGTACTGTAAGGCCATAGTAATCAAAACAGTGTGGTATTGGCATAAAAACAAAGATAGATCAATGGAAGAGAATAGAGAGCCCGGATAAACTCACATCTTTCTTGCCAATTAATACTTGTCAAGGAAGCAAGAATATGCAATGGAGTAAATATAGTCTATCTAGTAAGTGGTGTTGATAAAACTGGGCAGATATGTGCAAAAAATAAAACTAGACCACCTTCTTATACCATACACAAAAATAAACTCAAAATGGATTAAAGACTTAAATGTACACTCAAAATCACTAAAACCTTAGATGAGAACATAGACTGTAAAATATCAGATACTACTCATAACAATGATTTTGCTGATATGTCTCCTCTGGAAAGGGAAACAAGAGAAAACAAATAAACAAATGGGACTGCATTAAACTAAAAAGTTTTTGCACATCAGCAAAATGAAAAGACAAATCACTGAATAGGAGAACATATTTGTGAATGATAGATCTGATAAGGTGCTAAAATCCAAAATTTTAAAGAACTTTTAAAATTCAACACCCAAAACAATCCAATTAAAAAATAGGCAGATGACCTGAATAAACACTTCTCAAAGAGGACATGCAGGTGGCCAATGAACATAAGAAAAGATGCTCAACGTCACAATCTCAGTGAATTGCATATTGAAATCATAATGAGGTATCTCCTCACACCTGTCAGATTGGCTATCATCAATAAATGAATAAACAAGTGTTGGTGATGATGTGGAGAAGAAGGAACTCTTTTGACTGTTGGTGGGAATGCAGATTGATGCAGCCACTGTGGAAAATAGTATGGAGTTTCCTTTAAAAAAATTAAATTGTCTTATGATCCAGTGATTCTACTTTTGGGAATATATCTGAAGAAACCTGAAACACTAATTCAAAATAACGTGTGCACTCCTGTGTTCAATGCAATATTATTTACAATAGCCATGTTTCTATCAGTAGATGAGTGGATGAAAAAGCTGTGGTATATTTACACAATGAATTAGTACTTGACTACAAAATAGAAGAAACTTTTAGGTTTTGTGACAGCATGGATGGACCTGGAGAATATTATGCTAAGTGAAATGAGCCATTCAGAGAAATATAAATACCACATGATTTCCCTTATATGTGGAACCTAATAACAAAATAAACAAGCAATATAAAAACAAACTCATTGATACAGAAAACAGGCTGATGGCTGTTAGAACAGTGGGGGATTGGGAGACTGGCTGAAAAAGGTGAAGGGATTAA